AACATCCATATGAGCCTGTGTATTCCTGCTCTGTTTATCCTTCTCCCATCCTAAGTACTATGTTCCCTGACAGGCCTCACAGAAAAGCTTCCTTTTAATTATACTTTGCCCTCTGAGCTTCAGGATGGATGCCTTCAACTATGTATCATCTAATCTTTTTTGAAATTAATTATATTTACTTACATTTAGAGGTAACATTTTTCACACCCATCTTCCCTAATAATAACCAGAGTGATTTTGCGTCTTCCCTGTTTTCTCCCGTTCTTCCTTTCTTCTTTTTTTTTCTTTTCAAAGTTTTATTGATAAACGTATAGCAATGAGACAGTTTCAAATCAAATCGAAAGTACAGTTTCAACAAATAATACACTGCATATATTCTTCTTAGTGGTTAATTGCTGTACAAGATGCAGACTTGTGATCCTACTTACAAACACCATTAGAAAAAATCATTCTATTCATTAAGAGAATGCAACTATATATCTATCCCAACCACTTTGAATACACAGATACAAAATGGACCTTCATAGTTATACCCCAATTTTTTTAAGTTCCGTTGTTGAATATTACAGGTGTGTAAACTCAGCAAAATATTCTAAAAGAGTCCAGTAGCCCATAATAGCATTGGGTCTTCTGTTTAACTGGCAATGTCAGAAATTATTGACCTGAGTCCCCCACAGCTCAACATAACAACATGGCTTTACTTCCTATATTTCGTCTTCATACTTTTCTACTGGATGGTTAAGACCAAGGTAAAGCAGGACCTGTGCAACAAGAGTTGTAGCTTTTTGGTCTGAGAAGGTCAGTGAAATGCCCTCAGGATTTATCCTGAGATCCTGTACCTCAGACTGTAGAACCTTTGTCAGTGTCAGCCATGTGGATGAGTCACGGCCAATGCTTGGCCAATGTGCTCTCTGTGAAAGCCTGAGAGAGTGTCTTCTCCCCATGTGACTCTCCTTAGGCCCACTCTACATCATCGATCACTTTCCTCTTTGGCCCCATAATCTTCTTGATCAGAAAATTTGGGACACTACCGAGGTACATGACGTTACAGTACAAGTTCTCATATGTCCTGAGTCTTAATTGACCTTAGAAGGCTAGGGCCAAAATGTTGGCTTTCCTTGTAGCCCTCCTTTTTCTCTAATTTTGGTGTGCAAACTTAGGTTGTTAACCATCCAGAAGACAAGCTTATTGTTATTATCAAACGATTTAGGCTATCAAGCTTAACCTCACTATCTCACTGCATTTCAAACATCTTAGGCATAATAAGGAACAGGTATTTTTCATCAAGTATTGATATGTTGAACTTTAAGTCCTTACATAATATGATAAAAAACATTTAAAAATTAGATTATATTTTAAAAATAGGATAAAGACTTCTATGCTTCTCATGTTTGCACATAAGTCCAAAAATCTCACCATATACAACCTTGAAGCAGGACAGTCCCACAGTATTCCTTTTCCTGTCTCTTGCTTTCATTCACCACCCCCTTCTTGAACATCCACCTACCCGAGAGACATCTTAGCAGTAACTGGCATGTCATGACAAGCAGCCCATATTCAGAATACCACAATGACAGGCACTCCCAACATGAAACCACTATTACAAATTACCATCTGCAGTGCAGTAGCTTAGTTCACAGATATCAGTATATATAGTTAACGTTCTTCCTTTCTTCTAATCAAACTGAACAAAGCAAGAGTGATAGCCATACATAGAGGTTTCCAAATGTCCTTTTCATGAGATTGTAATTTCTTAGAGGACAGTAACCCTTTCACATTGTTAATAGTTTTTCACTGTTATGGGCATCTTATCATTATTTGAAAATAAGTCCTAATTTCTATTACTATCTATGTTATTAAAAGTTCTACCAAGAGGTAGGTACTTAGTCCATTTCTGTCGAATGAAATATTTCAGTCACTGAGTCTTAGAGTTAGAAGGCTCCTTAATGACCACTATTCACTGTCATTTTACATGTGAGACAGCCAAGGCTTGGGGAAACTAATGTCATACACAGGGCCAATGAATCTGTCACTGAAAGAACTACAACCTTGTAATCTGCCCTGTCGCCTGGCTTCGACCTCCTCTGTTGGCTGCTGTTCCTTCCCCAGTATTGCTGAAAGGAGTCAGCAGGGCCACAAGTGGGACAGAGGAAGCATGGGGCTCATGGCTGGAAGGATGACTCTATGGTTCTCAGGAAACACACCAAATGCTGGGGAAAAGTTAGCACAGTATTTTGCGTTAGATGCTTTAGGCTTTCTAGATTTCAGTGTAAAGTATGTAAGGAGGTGTTGACATTCCACAGGAAAGCTGGGGAAATGTCTTGAAAATTCAGAAATTCTAACTCCAAGATGATGGTAAGATGAACATACTGCAAACATGCACTTACCTACCGAAGAAACACATAAAGGAAGAAATTTGGATGAGATTGGGTCTCTGGCACTGACATGATCATCCTCATAGAGAAACACCTTTATGCCTAACAAATGCAACATCTCAAGGGTCAGACCATTAACAAAAACAAGAACATGTCAGTGTGAGATATGCTCAGAATTTGTTCTTTTTAGATGCAATGAAATGGGTAGAGTCCATTGAGGACTGTGCTGCGGGACTGAGCTAGGTAGTTTACATGCAGCGGGGACGGTGTTCCTGTTGTTCACACTAGGAAATACTCATGGTCATTCCCAGCTCGCAGACACAGCTAAGGCCCGAGGAGTTAAGTGCCTGGGGAGCATGATAGCCCAGATGAACACGCAGGCCGCACTGCTGCCTCCCTGCGGAGGTAAGCGGATTTCTCCATTTGCAAGTTCCAGTACCTGTGTCTGCTGTCAGAGAGCTCAAAGCCTCTAGATCACAGCCACTATCATCTACTTTAAAATTCTATAAAACAAAATTTTTCTCTTTCTGTTCAATTCATTTTGGATCTATAGTTAGTAAAACCATGTGTAATATTAGGATAAGTTCACCAATAAGGTCTTTCAGTCCCACTAAGTTTGGCCTGCCTCTAAAAACTAAAAAATAACATTGAAGAGTAAAAGCCACGTTCTTCTGTTTATAGAAAGGCACAATTGGTGGTGAAAGGTATGCCTGCTGTTTCCCTGAATATACATATCCAAATCCAAGATTCTAACCAATTAGTAGCACGCATAATCTAAGTCTGTTTGCAGCAGCCAGGCATGGTGATGCACGCCTGCAATCCTACCTACTTGAGAGGCTACAGCAGGCAGTTCACAAATTTATAGGTCAACCCAGACAACTTAGTGAGCTCTTGTCTCAAAATAAAAATTTAGAAAGGCTGGGGATGCAGCTTAGTCTGGAGCATTTGCCTAGCAAGCATGAATTCCTGGAATTAGTCCCCAGTACCTTAAAAAAAAAAAAAAAAAAAAAAAAAAGAATGAGCAGGTGAGAGCTAGCTTCTATGTCTAGAAGCCCAAGTGGGTCCAGCAGTCACTTGACCTTCCCTCTTCTTACCTAGGACCCCTGGGCCATCCTGCACATTGCAAGGCTAGTGGCACAACTGATGATCCTATTTTCTAGGTTGGAATGAGTGAAGGGAAAGCAGAAAAGTCTAACAGCCTCAACTTAAGTGAGGCTGACCTTTTAGAAAGGAATTCTATAGTTAGGGAACTAGTAAGAAGATGCTACTTTTCTTTATTTACGCATTATTAATGGTGCTATTTTAGAACACTACTCTCTTTAGTAGGTGCCTATGAAGACAGGACCTTTGAGATAACAATTTGCCATTTGATGTGAAATCCCTTTCACGTTGACAATTTAAAATCAGCCACCTTTCTTGAAAAATTTCAAAAATATTCTGCTAATACATAAAGAGCCAAATCTCTATGATACAACTTAATTGTTAGATTACTATTCCCTCCAGATTGTCCATCTTAATTTTGAGTTTTTTTTTTTTGTTTGTTTTGTTTTTTTACAGAAAAGAACAAATACAAATGGGTATGCTTTTTGCATTTTAGCAGGGTGACACTGTGAAGTATTTGAAAAAAGCTAGCCCACATCTACACCCTTGTACTACTTCAGTTCCTTCGCATACACTCATCATGTTTGGGAGAGGTGCGGCTTCTGCTGGACACAGCTGAGCACCACTGTCAGCAGGAGCATGGATCAACAGTACCTTCTTTGTTACTATTCCCAAAGTGAAGCCAGAGTTCCTTCATTTTAATTAACATGCCCTTTAATTCATCTGAGGAAAGAGCTATACACATATTAAAACAATTTTGGAATTACACGGCCAGATGAGTATCAGTTATCTCTTTTTCTGTATGCTAAGTCATTGCTATATACTTTTTTTTTTTTTTTGTAGCACTTAACAATTGTATTGGAGAAAGGACATCAAATGATGCTTAGAAATGTGATACACATTTTCATTTCACACTCCATCAGCTTTTACAACTGTAGCTCAATGAAATGTAAGAGAAAGCTTGGCAAACAGCCATATTTACCAAGGTATAAAATAGAGGTCAAGTTACATTTTTATAGAAAGAAAAAAAAATGTTTGATTTTCACTCCATACAACCAAAGTAGATATCCAGCTAACACCCTAGTGAAAGGCATCATAACCATATATGTGGCATGGTTTAGTGCCTGTCCAGCTATAAGGTTTTACTACGTTATAAACAGTTTTGCAGGCAGGAAAACATTCCTTCCTTTTGTCCCCTTACACTTGGCATCTATGGATACAGAAGCATACAGGATCAGGTCCTCTTCAGTTAAATCTTTTACCTGCATATAATGGCTTTTATCCTTTGCATCTAGCTGGGAGGCAGAAATGGCTTATTTCCTCTACAGGCAGAGGAGCAAAGCTATAGGCATCAGCAAAAAGGCATCTTTCTAATTCAGATTTCAATCTGTCAGAAAGGATAAAAGCCTCATGCATACATAAAAAGGGAACTATAAATGATAACAGGAGTGTGGTCTGGAATCCTTGTGCCTCCACAGCTGTTGCTTTACTGCCAGGGCAGATAGCAAAGCATCTTGTACTTACCTTTGTTAAACCTGAAACTTCTCCCTTTGCTAATGGTTTGTTGATGGATGGTGTGTATACTTTGGCATCTGATACTGGCTGCCCTTTCATAAAATGTTTTCCTGATTCATAAATGTCCACCTCGATCATTTTTCCCATGAATGAAGGGTTCTTTGGCACCAAAACCTTAGAAAAAAAAATCAGAAATCTCAATTTCTTAAAACAAACTTTAAGAATATTTTTAGATTTATAGACTATGGCAAGGGCAGTAGAGAGTTCTTATATGCCTTACACCTAGTTCCTCATTATTAATATCTTACGCTTCTATGGTATGCTTGTCATAATGTATAAACCAAATCTAATGCATTACTATTCACTGAAGTCTACACTTGATTCATACTTATCAGTTTGCCCTTAAAAGGTATTTTCTCAAGGACTCCTCACAGAAGTGCCTGCCCATAGCCAGATGCTGGTAAGTCTCTAGCAGCCAGTCAGCCTCTTTTGAACTTGGCCTTTGATATTCTGCTCATGACTGTCCCATGCAATGAAGAAAATTGAGCCAAGAATGATGAAAGCCTAATACTTTCAATACCTTCCAACTTAGCTCTTGTAATGGTATGAGCAGACACTTCAAATGAAGCCTGCATATGATTGCATGTGTGCACTCATGCATGTGCAAACACATGTTTCAGAGGAAGAGGGAGACTAAAAGCAACCTTGTACTAACACAACCCACTGGTGTTCAGCACCACATGACTCCCCTGGCTAGTGTCTACCACCCATTTCTTTGGCTCCGTTAGAAGAAGCCTGTGTGTGTATGAGCAACTGGAGCCTACATCCATAGTGAACCAGCTGCTCTAAAAGTACTTGGCTAGTTCACAGGAAACTATCAGATGGTCTCTTTCCACTAGAGATTACCGATAAAAGTACTTGTTTACCTTGAGCAAATGTTTCCACTCCTTAGTCCTTAGGGACTAATAGGTAGTTTGTGTGTGTTAAGTCTCTCTCACACTTCTATTTTAGTTATGTAGCTACATGCCAGTCTTTTCAAGTTAGGATACAAAATAAATAAGACTAGTTCTAACCCTGTAATACTCTGAAATTTAGGTATGATCTTCACCTCTGGGACCAATTTTATTTAGAAAAAAATTCTAATGACATCTTAGATAGGCTTAATTGTATGGATAAAAACATCTGAAGAGAGCCAGAAGTTCCACAGCTAATTTCTCTAAAAAGCCAACTGGATCTTGGCCTTTCTGAGTTTGATTTTTATGACCAATGGGTTAGCTTCATCAAAGTGTAGGAGAAAGGTCACCTGGGTGGCAAATTACTCATGACAAGCAAACAAACTAAAAGAGCTTTGGTGTCAGCATATGAAAGCCTTTTAGAATCAGTTTTTCTAAAATAAGAAAATCTCTAGCGCAAACTATCCCTGGAGGATTTGATACTACTCTGGGGGAAAATAGCCCTCCTAGATCTGCTGCCTTGATCTGAATGAAAGGCTCAAGGTTTTTTCTCCTCCTGTTTTAATAATCAGAAAAGACCCAGCTGCTTTAAATGGGAGGAAACAGCTAACGAGGTGTGCTACTGCCTTCAAAATGAATGGAAAAACGTTCCTGCTGTGGCACAAACCCTGGTGGCAAGAGAAAAATGAGGGCCAATGAGGTAACTCCAGCATAATCCCACTCCTCCCCCTCTCTAGGCCAGATGGGGACCCTGGTCTCTCATAATGAGCCTGCAATGAGGAAGAGACTTGGCGACAATTCGAAGCACTGGAGTCCTCCTTCCACTGAAGCTTCCACTGCTGCTGGACAAAGTTTAGTGTGTCTCAACCTCCATATTTTCTAAGGACCTAAAACCCAGTTTAAGATTACTCCAAGTGAATATCATTGCAGAGATCACCCCAACCATTGCCATCCTACTTTCTAGCTCAAAGGCTTCCCTTGCCCACGCCCTGTCTGACAGGCCCATGACAGGCCCATGCTGGCCTCCACGGTCCCTCTTTCCAGTGCTGGTTCTGGTCCTATGCCAGAGAACAATCTCTCTGTCTCTGTCTCTCTTTGAGAAAGGAATAGAAAGTGAGAAAACTTGATGCTAATACAAGTTAATGTGATGCACAATGATTCATACAGCACCACGCTCCGATGGGGATCCCCCAGAACTGCTAAGAGAACCCGCTTGCATCCTCATGCTGGACTCCACAGTTGTTCCCACAGATTGAGTTGAGCCTAGGAGTTCTTTTTCTTCCTATGCTCCCAGCATTTTTATCAAGGTAGAAGTTAAAGTCTAGTGCTGGCCCTATCCAAGATTAGTGTGGACTAAAGCACACTAATCTAAAATACACTTAGGCTTTTGTGGAGAAGATTCTGTAAAATAAGACACAAAGATAAGCGTCAGTGTAAGCTGGTGGCCTTGATGCTATAAAATAGACTCTGTGTGGCATGATTAAACCCATTCCCCTTGAAAATCCTATTTGCTTAAACTTTCTGAGTTCTTATTTGGAGAAAGCTGAAGAACATTGAAATGCCTCTTACCTGCTCATAAAATCGGTTGTGTGCGACATAAAACTTGGAATCAAAAGATTCTTCTGTTACTAACACTTGTTGTTTTTCACCAATCTGTGGAAAGAAGGGACAAAAAAAAGAGGAAAGATAAAGTATCTGAGAATCCAAAAATAAATGCCAGCCCAAATAATTCTGGGTTCACTAGGGCCCTCTTGATTTTAAAGGGTAGACAGCTAATTATTAAAGGCTAACACTGTTTCAATGACCAATTCAAATTTCTTCATTAACTATACTAGTGACAAAATTAGCAAAGTATGGTCTCTTCTTACATAACTATGAAACAGAACTTGACTGTGCTTCTTCCTTCCACATAAGTAAGATAATTAAAGCTTCTAAGACATACCAAAATCTTGTAAATATCACTTAGTTTCTTGAAACAAAGTTGCAAAACAAGCCAGAACAAGCTGCTTCTAATACAAATTCATGAAAATATTTTGGCAATATGAAATAGTAATAAACATTAATTTGAGTTATGAGGCATGTAACACTAAAGATAATGCCTCAAAAGCTAGTCATCAGGCCTCTGCACTTCAACATTCTGCATACTGCATATGGTTCTGAAACTACTAATTCACACAGTTATTTATTGGTTAAATGTATTTTCTTTGTCTTTGCTGGAGTACTGATTCTATGAGCACTTAATTATTTTCTGTTAAGAAGGACAGCAGAAAGTAGGACTGTTTGATCTGACAATATAAGCAAGGTTTTTTTTTTTTTTTGTACCGGGGATTGAATTCAGGACCCTGCGCTTGCCAGGCAAGCGCTTAATCTACTGAGCTATCTCCCTGGCCCTAAGCAAGTATTTTTAATAACCAAGAAGTTAAATCAGCCAAATGATGGTTAAAGAAATGTGACTCTACAAAAACAAACCAAAATAAACAAGCACACAAAACAATCAACATCCTTTCCAATTTTATTCCACGGTAAAGTACAGCATTTAAAGTATCAATTAGTTTTTTTTAAAAAAAAGGTTGTCAAAATGTCTCATCTAGCAAACCAGCTGCGTTGAATACTAGTTCGTGCAATTATTTGTACCATTTCGGCTTGATAAATAAACCCCCTGAACTGAAGTACACTGGCAAGATGACTTAGGAAGAAATTCCTATTCTCCTTTGTAGGGACTTGTCACAGTGATCAGGCAGTTATCATTTCAGAAACATAAACACAGCTGCACTAACTGGACCACCTAACAATTAAAGAAGAAATGAAACACTCCTTCTCATCATTCAGTGCCAATAGCTAACACGTCACAATCTGCCATCTAGTTCACCATCTCATTCAAAATGTAGCCCACTTAGCCAAAGTTTGTAAGGTCTTGGAGTGGTACTCAGCAGGGCTTATTGAAGTCTATGAAAAATCAGTAAAAGTTCCTCCAACATGAGAAAATCAAGTAGCTCCATAGAAGTTCTCCAACTTCTATGGAGCTTGCTTGCATGGCTCTGACTATGAAAAACAGACCGGTGAATAATGGATTTCACTGATGTATATACTCTTGGAAGAAAAATTGGAATGTTTGCACACAATTCATAAGGTGAGTTGCTTATAACTTAGGAGAAGTATCTGTCAATGGTTCTTAAGGAAATCTGCAATTACATTTCATCTACCATTAAGTTTTCAGGAAATTACTGGCAGTGTCAGGATGCAGAGCCACTGAAAGGGTGTGCTGCGTCTCTGCTCCCATTAGAATTGATGTGGACAGGTGCAGAAATACTTTGTGCTGTTTTATTTCCTCTAGTATTTCCAATGATATCTACAATGATAACAGTAAAATATACAGAGTTAGAAAGACTTGCTATGTTTATATCGTAGAGAGCTAGGCTTTCCACCAACCATCAGAGAAGTATTTGTAGGTGAGTACTTAACCATTATTGGACAAAAGGGATCACAGGAGAACTGTTTTGTGCATTGAGTAATAATGGCAAATGCCTTTCTAGTCATACTTTTGTTCCCTGGGTGGTGGACTTCATCTCATTGGTGAGACTCCCTGAATTCTCCAAAGTATTCTGAGCAAACATGAGCATGGAAGGTGAGGGCTCGATCATAAGCTGATGCAATCTATAGAACTTACACTGCAGTGAATACTCAAATACAACCTTTAAGATAAACAACTATTTCAAATAATCTTAAAATCAACTAGAAGTTAAGGAAGGAAAGTGTTCAAATCAAACTCTGGAAGAGTTGGTTTTGGTCACAATAAGAGCTAAGAAAATGTAAATAAGCCTCAAGTTTTTTTTCTAAAACCAACTGCTTCTGCCTACAAGTTGCAACTGTTCTCTCCCCACCCCCACCTCTGCAATATAACTTAGTGTGAATAAAGACCTGCAGACAACAAGACTTACAGGTATGAGTTGATTCGCCATTGCCTAAGAGGGTCTTTGCTATAAAGAGGCAAGCTGTAGAAGTCTTTCAGCCACTAAGACCACCCCACCAAGCAATCTGCTATACTAATGGCAGAGATAAGCAATTCAGCAGGAAGCACCACAGCTTCTCAAGGGATGATGCAGGAAACCTGTGTCTCACCCACGCTATGCTGAGAAGCAGACTTCTATCACTATCTCTCCATCACTGGCAGAACCTTGCCCAAAGGCTAGAGCCACCCAAAAGAATGCAAGGTTATATCACTTTGAAAAATGAGCAAAATCCTCGAAATCGTGGTTTTCATAAAATTTGTGACTGGCATTTCAGCAGAGATGATTAAACTGAAATTGTAGATCTGCAGAATGGTCTAGAAGGTGGCTTCAAGACAGTTGTAGTGGTGAAGGTCAGGAAGAAAGAATGACAAGAAGCACGGGGAGGCATCTTAAGGGTTTGCAAAACCACAGATTTGGGTAGAATTGTGGAAGATGACTTATGATCTTGGTAGAATGGTTTAATGGTTTAAGGTGAAGGAGCCTTGGCCATATTAGGGCACTTCACTTTCCTCATCTACAAAATAAGGGGCATAGCTCAGTGGCTCAAATGCCTGCCTGGCACTCACAATGTCTTGAACTTGATTGCTGGCACCAAAACCAACCAACCAACCAACCAACCAACAAACCAAAATGGCCATTTTGAAAATCACAGGATGGAGAAGAGCTGAAGGCAAGGTGGATTACTACACTAATGGGTGTATCTGTTCCAGAGCCTTGAGTCCATTGAGGCAGACCTGGAAGTCAGGGACTGATATGCCCATGAGGTACTGTGGGGATCAGATCAAGACAGGTTCTTTCTTTTCTTCAAGCAAGTGTACGCTTGAAGCCCACCGCAATCACAGCCATTCTGTAACTTTAACTAACAACGATCTTTAATATCCACTAAAAAACATTTATAAAGTCTTTCAAAAGGCTATCAAGAGGGGGCTGGGGAGATGGCTCAGTAGAATAAGCACTTGCCTAGCAAGCGCAAGGGCCTGAATTCAATCCCCAGTTCTGCAAAAAAAAAAAAAAAAAAAAAAAAAAAAGGCTATCAAGAGACTTGAAGTTTTCTTTAAAAAGTCTGTCAATGTCTACACAGCCCTTTTTCTAATCCTAAGAAAGATGACTCTTTTTCTTGTTTACTGTATCAGTATGTCACAGTTAATTGAAAGAAATGTTCAATTTCTGTGACAAGTTAGAGCTAAAAGCTTTGCGCGGGACTGTTACCTCCCTGGAAAACCCAGCTTCCCTTCTACCAACATTGAACATTCTGTCAAGATCCTACAGATCCTACTTCACTGAGGCAAAGGGCAGTTTTTACCTCTAGTTTGTCCCTTAATGCAGCTCTGTGGACTTTCAAAGTCAGTCTTGAGGCTTTACACCTGCTCTTGGAAACCAGGTGTACTTCATAATTTAGTCACAACGTCAGCAGACTAAGTAACTTTTCCTGGGCCGCACAGAACTTCACTCAGACCATCGTAACCTTACTTTTAAAAGCCGTTTTATAAAGAATGAATTATGAAAATGGTCTTGTAAAACTATCCCTCCAGGGGCTGGGGAGATAGCTCAGTGGAATAAGTGCTTGCGTGGCAAGTGCAAGGTCCTGAGTTCCATCCCTGGTACCACCAAACAAAAGGAAAAAATCCCCTCAAACTATGGCTGCATCCCACCAAGGATGAGGTCCTTGATGTGAGGGGCAGTGCAGGAAGGAAAAGGCCCTCTAAGACCCTGTCTGACTGGTGATCTCCCAGTGCTGCTGCCAAGTGGTCCTGGCTATGAATGAGCGGGTGTGGTACAATGTTCAGGTCTAGGTGAGAAGATATGGGAAAAGCTCTTACTGTTTTATAACTAGGAGAGGAGAAAATAAAGGCATCATTCCATTAGCTTGACAAAAGGGGCTTAATTGCTCTGCCTTCAAAGAGGGAACTAAGGTGCAGCAAGATGGGTGATTTGCTCAGTGGCAGTAGCAAAAAGAAAGGGAGGTCTCTGAGCAATCTCCACTGCTCAGGGCCTCCTATTTCACTGCTAGCAGTAGAAAACTTAAGCACTGAGGCTCTAACTCTGCAGTGTATTCCTTCTCCTTAGGTAGAGGAATATCTGTGATAAACAAAAGGCAATGTTTTAAAGATTCAATTTCTAGATAGATTTTCCAGCAAGTTACATAATCAACTAGCTGTGTCATTTCTGTCACATCTATGCTTAGAATTTCCCAAGTGCCTGAAGTTGTAAGAAACATCAGTTCTAACCATATGGCTGGAAAACATGCATAAAACACACACTTGCACTAAAAAGCAGTGGTTTCCAACATAATGTGGTTGTTGGATGAATGCTCATTCAAGTATACTCGCTCCCCATTTGTCCCAGATAGTACCCTATGCGAGTCCATATAAGGTCCTGAAGAGAAAAATGACAAGAATTGTTTGAAGAAAGGCAGATGTTACTCAAATTAAACAAAAGCATTAGAATATCTGGGTTAATACCATTAACTCAAGAAAAACTGTTCCTTGTACAAGTACTCTGTGCACTAGAAAAAGCAAAAGGTTTCTCTTCAACTTGCATGTGGCTGTAAATATAAACTTTATGTCAAATTTACTTTTTTCTCTCACCTCTGCTTTACACTTAGAAAACCTGAGATATGGTTTGGAAACTAATGCCAATCTC